AGTCTGGACCAGATAATCCAGTGATTAATATCATGAGCATCGATCCACGCAATTGGGATCGATGATATGCATCAACCAAGTCAGCGAGCCTGACCACCCGATCCCGTTAGTCGCCTTTTACGACAAGCATAGTCGCTTTTTACGGCGAGCATGGGTTGCTGAAGACCTATTCTACCCCGGACCTTCACGGGTGCATAATTAGGAGATAAACACTTCGTGTTTATGCAGTAGAGCTAGGTTACCTGTAGATTTAACCGCGATAATTGAATTTGAAATCGACCATTTGTTTACCAGCAAGAAAACTATTTTCTTTGGGAATTTTTTGGTGCTTCTGACTGACACATGGGCCCAGGACAAGCCATATTCACGTCTGCATTATTGAAGGGATTGATAAACAAGCTCATATTTTGTGAAATTAAAACATGGAACTATTGGATGTTTATGCTTTGTGAAAGCGAGAAATTATTTCAGATAGCTGCATATTAGTCACTTGTCCCTAATATCCAACCCTACTGCTCATCAGCGTCATGTAATTGGACCCTGAAATAAACTCTTCAAAAGGTTAAAGAAACGCAAAGCCAGATTTGTATGAGGTAGGAAAATACATTTATACGAAGAACCTTACAAGGTATTGAGCCAATATGCTGTGGAGATAACACGTAGTGATTGTAGTCATCTCAGTTATCGGTACAAAATGAAGGTCAGCTACCATCAATAACGCGTATGCCCCCCCGCTCATAAAATACACGTTATGTCCTCTGGAGCAAGTGGGGCGGTGGGGTAGCCTAGTGGTTAAAGCGTTCGCTCGTCAAGACCCGGGTTCGATTCCCCAAATGGGTACAATGTGTGAAGCCCATTTCTGGTGTCCCCCACCGTGATATTGCTGGAATATTGCTAAAAGCGGCGTAAATCCACACTCACTCACCTGAGCAAGTGACTTTGTTCGACGTGTGCCTCTGTTCACCCAGCAGTAAATAGGTACGCGGTACAATGATGTGGTACTATGGTACTATGACCTTCTAGCGCCTCACAGACAGCTTTGGTTGTATACTCCCTAGGGAGTTGAGAATGAAAATCTGCCCACTGATCCATTGACAAGGGTAATAATAATGTAGTGTTTCGAGTATGAATGTTTTTGTTTTGTATGTAATTGATAAATGAAAGAACAGTTGTTAGATTTGACATGTCTATTTGAACAATCACTTATCACTGCAACAATTTGTCAGACACACAGACAGACATATTTATTCGGTACTTCAGGCCACCGGCCCATAATACAATGGAAATATACTGTATATATATATATTTGCATGCTGAGTAGATTTAATAATGATTCACCGTTCAACACTGTGTTTATTGTTTATTTTTATGTCTATTTGAACTATCACTTATCACTGCAACAATTTGTAAAAAAAATGGGTTATTTTGTGTCAAAATTATTCGTTCAATGAAGACTGGGATAAAAAATGAATTTGCAACCGCATGACCCCAACCATGTTTGTAATGTTGCAAATTTGTGCCGAAAAAATAATTAATTTTAGTAATTTTTCAAAGATGAGTTGTCTGAGATATCAGCAGTTGTCCATCATGCGATTTTTTTAAATGTTCAAAAGTTGCAAATCAAATTATATTTTTTTAAAACCAGAACCATGTAGAAGTATTCTTTGAGTGCTGACCAAGTGCCGGTACAGTTAAATTAATATAAAAATATAAAAAATAAACTTACGTTATTTTCAATAAAATGAAACATATGAAAAAATCAGCTGGGAGACATAGTTTTTTGTACTCCCAAGTTTGCATTGCTTGAGGAGTTGTGTTTTACAAGTGTGCTATTGTTGGTACGAGTATGGACGATGTCGAGTGCCATGTTTAGAGAGTGTCCAGTTAAAAGAGAGGAATGCAGTCGTGACGGATGTTTTATGTGGTGCTTAAAGCTGCTCGACATTATTAAGGAACAGACGCTCAGTTCAATGACCTCCTCAACGCCTAATGTCACCAAACTCACCTGTAACGTTATAATAACAATTAACTGTGTCACAGCGAGAGGTAAATATATGACCAGTCACATGTCTCTCATGTACGAGGTTATACAAACATACTCGCCTTCGACGTCTAGGCTTGCCGTGTCACGCTCTCAATGCTGTTTTCGAAATGAAAACACTTTCTTGTACACTGCTTACCCGGATTCCGGGTTAGAATAAGTCTTCAGCTTGCTGTAAAAGGTGACTATGCTTGTCGTAAGAGGCTACAAACGGGATCGGGTGGTCAGGCTCGCTGACTTGGTTGATGCATGTCATCAATCCCAATTTCATAGATCAATGCACATGATATCAATCACTGGATTGTCTATTCCAAACTTTTTTACAGATCGCCGTCATATAGCTGGAATATTGCTGAGTGCGGCGTTAAACGACAAATAAACAAACTATACTGAACCACAAAAGAAACGTCACCCCAAGTAACATTGCATGAAAAGTTGTCACTTAAATATCTGGGTAATTTTTGTCAAAGTTTCTAAATTTTAACATTACCTTGTCCGGAAAAATGAAATTTGATGATAAAAAACAAAGCAGATGACAATAAAACCGATCGCCCAAACGCATCACAGCTACGGCCATGGTAACCCGATGCACGTGAGTTCCGGGCAAATGGAAATGCACATGCGTTACCCCATTTCTTGCCCTATAAAAATTCACCCAGATCGGATAACATTCATTCGTTATTGAATTGCTACCACATGCTCAGAAATCAGCGACACCAAGCCCTTGGACGATTACAAGCTGGACAAACCGCCCGGCAAGTCGCCAATGCATTTCAAGTCCACGTAAGGACCATATACAGGCTCCAGCAACGGTACCAGACCACCAACACTACAGATGACCGACCACGTAGTGGAAGACCAAGGGTCACCACCCGACGACACGATCGTCAGATTGTGCGACAGCATCTTCAAGATCGCTTTGTTACTGCTGCGGAAACTGCTCGACAGACCATGGGGACACACCAGCGACACATTAGTGCGGACACCGTGCGTCGACGATTGACGAGCAGACACCTCCACTGTCACAGGCCACACCGAGGACCCATTCTGACACCACGGTATCGCCGAGACCGTCTTCAGTGGGCAACACAGCACCAGCATTGGCGCCACCAGCAGTGGAGAAGAGTCCTCATCTCAGACGAGAGTCGTTACTGTATCTCAACAGCAAATGGCAGGGAGAGAGTCTGGCGACGCCGTTGGGAACGTTATTCGGATGCTTGCGTTGTTGAGAGAGACTCGTGGGCTGGTCCGAGCATCACGGTGTGGGGTGGAATTGGTCTTGCACAGAGGGTCGTCCCTGTGGTCTTCCAGAACATCGGTCCAGGGAGAGGCAATGGTGTCACAGCAGCTCGGTACATTGATCAAGTCTTGAGACCACACGCCATACCTCATTTGGCACGTCGCCGTAACCACAAGTTTCAGCATGATAACGTCCGTTCCCACACTGCGAGAGCAACAAGAGACTTCCTCCAGCAGAATGGCATCAGAACCAAGCAGTGGCCTGCCCTCAGTCCAGGGGCATCACTGCCCATCATAGGACCCCTCTAGTGGTCATCGCCAGCTATTTGACAGATGTACGGTACCATGACAAAGTTATCCGTCTTCACTTCCCGTCAGATCCATGGACGTCACATCACTGCCCGCCCTTACGTTGACTTCATAGGACAAACTGAGATCACGTCTACAGAGGATATGTGTTGGCACAGTCATGATGAATTCATGTTTCACTGACATCAGTATATTGTTCTGTTGCGAAATAATTCTTTGTTTGCGACCCGTGAAGATCCGGGATAGAATAGGTCTTCAGCAACCCATGCTTTCCTTTAAAGGCGACTATGCTTGTCGTAAGAGGCGACGAACGGGATCGGGTGGTCAAGGCTCGCTGTCTTGGTTGATGCATGTCATGGATCCAATTGCGTGGATCGATGCTTATGATGTCAATCACTGGATTGTCTGATCCAGACTCGATTATTTACAGACCGCCGTCATATAGCTGGAATATTGCTGAGTGCGGCGTTAAACAACAAACAAACAAACATTCTTTGTTTGCTTTTATTTATTATTTCCCATGATAGTTAATAATGCAAATGCATAATTATTATTCTTTTAGTGTCGATACGATGGGTTCATCGTGGTGGCGACTTGGTGTCACTATGGACTACACCATACAGTGTGACCATGCTAGGCTAGGAATATACTAATCCTTACGAGAGCAACACAAGGAAATGATGATTTTTTCAGGTGGTCAATTGACTTGCCTTTGCATGTGTCTGTGACGGATGCCGCTGGTGCGGCAGGATACGCTCACCTTTCGAGAACACCTGGAATTATCACTTTTTGATAGTGATTCATAAACACATGTTCAAGATATAGTCGGAATCGTACAATGGAGATTTCTCATTACGAAAGGGGGTTTGTCTCTATTCACGACAAGCGTTCAAACTACGTGTTCTACTCCACATGTTTCCAGACTATTAGAAGTGTCTTCTGATATCTGAGTTCTCTCCCTTTAATAAACAGGAACCACTGAAGGAACCACTCATTCGCCACTGAGGCTTGATATAGATTTCCTTTGTGTGTATTTAGCCATCGAACTTTATCCAATTACTCACTCACTCTGTCTGATTTGTTTGTTTGTTTGTTGTCGAGCTCAACAATATTCAAGCTATATGACGGAAGTCTGCAAAATAGTTGAGTCTGAACCATACAATGGAGTGATTGTTATCATAAGCATCCATATACACATTTCGGATACCATGCCATGCATCAACCAAGTCAGCGAGCCTGACCATCCGATCCCGTTAATCGTCTCTTACGACAACCATGGGTTGTTGAAGACTAATCTGGTAGTTACGGTATGTGTGCAATAAGATTAATGAGTAAAATGTGGCTAAACAGGAATGATTTTTATATAAAAAAATATTTGAGTGTCCAGTGCTAATTTCATCACGAGGTGCTTATATTTCGATGGTATGTACACGTTACATTTTTTAATGTTTATTACCTTATTATAAATAGTACACACCGTCAAATACATGAACAGCTTTACCTATCAACATAATGTTTTTGAAAACATCTTCGCAGATGTCGTACTTTATTGTCAGTATTCCCCGACCCATCGCAATGTCACAAGACGATTGAAGCTGATCTTGGCATCCACCTTGAGACCGGATGTGACGTAGAGTCGTTACCAAAGCAACAGCAGTAGCTCCTGTCCCACAAGCCTCCGTTTCATCTTCCACACCCCTCTCGTACGTTCTTACACAAACAGCTCCATCTTTTACTTCAACGAAATTAACGTTGGCTCCATTCATCTCACCGTATTTGCCATACCGCAGTTGTCTCCCTTCTTTAATGACGTCACATTTGTCCAGTGAATCAACAAAACGCACATGATGGGGAGACCCTGTATCCACGAAGTAGTTTTCGCTATCCAGTTCCTCAATGTCCTCAAATCTTCGATCTTTCATACTGACACAATACTTATCATCCACAGGCAAATACAGACCGTCATGGACGCCGTCGTAAGCCTTAAATGTCACCCGTGTGTGGCCGATCAGCCCCTTACTGAGGGCGAAGGCCAGTCCACACCTGGAGCCGTTACCACACAGTGATCCCACCTGGCCGTCACTGTTGAAATAGTCGAGGACAAAGGCGTGATCCTTGCTGGACCCAAGTATAATCAGCCCGTCCGCTCCCACCCCGTACCTCCGGTCACACATGAGACGCCGCTGGGTGGGTGAGATGGTGATGGACCCCTGGGTGTTGTCTAGAAGCAGGAAGTCATTGCCCAGCCCGTGGTACTTGGAAAATGTCAGTTGTGTCGCCGCCATGTTTCCTGTGATCTAATTTTAGCTCAGGTACTTATACCGGTAGATAATATGACATATAGCTGTGTATCAGATTCAGGTTCGATTGAAGTATACTCATAAAAAGAAGAAACGCAAAGGGGATAGTGACCTACATATAAAACACATTAAAGAATTGCCTTTAATATATTTTTAGTACTTATGGGGATATAAACGTAAAAAAAACGGTATGCACTCTGTAAATTCACGTATTGTTCGGTTAGCTAATCAAATGCCACGGAATGCTTGTTTATCAAATTACTATATGCAAGTACATATATACTGTACATCAAAAGAAATGCGAATCAAGAAGGTATAGGAAACATGATGTATTTTGTTTCAGCTGGTATAAACATAATAATGATTGATACAACACAATTCATTAGCAATAAGAAAGAGTCAGTTCTCTGGACATCAGACATCTTCTGTATTCATCAACACAACACCACGTGACCATGCTGAAGTCAACTGAAGTATGGGTATACCTCAATACCCATTTGCATTCACAAGCGCGACACACCGTCTGTGCATGGAGTGAATGAGACGGTTGATAGTGTTCATGGGGATGTGACGCCACACCTGCGCATGCAGGATGGTAACCTCGAGCTGTGCAGCTGTCCTTGGCCTCGGACGCGCCATGTTCAAACGTCTCTGCACTTCATCCCACAAGTGTTCAATAGGGTTGAGATAAGGACTAAGAGCCGGCCAGGGCATGGTGTTGATATTGTGCTGTTGCAAGAAGGCTTGAGTAATCCTGGCGGTGTGGGGACGAGCGTTATCCTGTTGAAATTGGAAGTTGCCATGTCTTGTAAAAAACGGTACAACCTCGGGCCTCAACACCTGATCGATGTAACGCTGAGCAGTGACACCATTGCCCCTACCAGCTCCAACGTTCTGAAAGATTACAAGGTCAGTTCTCTGATTTAACCCTATTCCGACTCAAACCATGACACTAGGACCACCCCACGAGTTCCGTTCAAGGACACACTGGTCATGATAGCGCTCACCGCGACGTCGCCATACTCTAACACGTCCATCGGCACGATCAACACAATGCCGACTTTCATCAGAGAACAGAACTCTTCTCCACTGCTGATGACGCCAATTCAAGCGTGCTTGGGCCCACTGTAGTCTCAGGAGACGGTGACGTTGAGTTAGAACAGGACCTTGTGATGGTCGCCTACACTGAAGCCCTCTGTCACGAAGTCGCCGTCCTACTGTGTTGGAACTTACAGCCCTCCCGTGGTTTCCAACGACGTTCCTAGCAGTTGCACTGGCCGACAGGAAACGTCCTTGCAGATGTGACCTGTGAATGTGACGGTCCTGACGTTGTGTTGTCACACGTGGTCTGCCGGTACGATGCCTGTCTCTGGTGCTGTTGGTTGTCTGGAATCTTTCCTGCAGACGGTAGATGGTGGAAACGCGGACGTTAAAGGTGTTTGCAACTCTCTGAACACTCTCACCAGCTTAAAGTTGCCCAATAGCTCTCTCTCGATCGATCTGTGACAGTCGTGGCATCGTCACTGACGTTGATGAGTGAATGATTCACAGTGACACTTTCGTGGCTTTTAAAGGCAACATCTTCGCGGACAGTTTTTGCGGCATAAGCAGCACGTGCATTCCGTGCGTATCCATCCCACACTGACTTCAATGTCGGTACGTTTGAGCGCTGTGGATTAAGAGTTCACTGCCCTTAACTCTGGTTAGGGTCATTTTGAAACAATTAAAGCCCATTACAATGGAACCATAGCAGCCAACCGTTTTCACAACCATTTTCCCATATTAAATAGGAACTTGACGATTTCGCGTTTCTTTTTGTGTTCAGTATACTTGTAGATTTGCAGATTTGTAGACAAGAGACACAATTCAAGATAAACATTCATCAAATGTCAAAAAAAATATTAACGGACAATAGTTTGACATACTGTAGCATCAGATACTACCGAAAACAAGTTATAGAACACCCACAATTGAGAGAGTGAGTGAGTGACTATGGTTTTACGCCGCTTTTAGCAATTTTCCAGCAATATCAAGGCGGGGGACACCAGAAATGGGCTTCACACATTGTACATCTTCGGCGTGACGAGCGAACGCTTAAACCACTAGGCGATGTCCCCTCTCGGCCACCATAGTTATCGCATTGTATTCAATGTGCCCCAGAGCACGCGCTCTGGACGTTGGTATGGCTACCCACAGCATGGTGCGCCACGTGACCGACCCCATGTCCTCGACTGTTATATGTCATATTTGTCCCCATTCTCCATAACAGTCTCATTATATGTAGACACAGTTGATAGTCGAGGATACATCTACCTTGGTTGGGGCGCATCTAGGTACCTTTAAAACTGGTGTGATAAAGAGATATAGTTTAGCCTACTTCAGATTCGAGACACTGTGTCAAATATTTGACAGTGCGACTGGCCTACGGGTTGGAAGACTGTATACCGCACTGCACGTGATGGTGAATAAGCTGCCTCACTAAGCCCCTTCCCATATCGATGACGAGGCGAGGGCGGGTGTGGATAAACTAATTACTGAGTTAGTGTTTGTTTGTTGTTTAACGCCGCACTCGGCAATATACCAGCTATATGACGGCAGTCTGTAAATAATAGAGTCTGGACGAGACAATCCAGTGACTGACATCATTAGCATCGATACACGCGATTGGGATACAATGACATGCATCAACCAAGTCAGCGAGCCTGACCACCCGATGCCGTTGGTCGCCTCTTACGCCAAGCATAGTCGCCTTTTACGCTAAGCATAGTCGCCTTTTACGGCAAACATGGGTTGCTGAAGACCAATTCTACCCTTGGTCTTCACAGGTGGTCCGGGATGTGAGAGTTGCTGTCTGGAACCCTTGTCTAACATGCGTTGTTCGAATCCATATGTCTTTGAGAGTGGTTGTCATTGGTGGGCGGCCATTACTGGGCGGTCTCGGACGTGGTTGTTCTATTGATAACGTCGCTATAAGTGATCCTGTTGACGTCCAATTGACGTCCGACGTCACACTGTGAGGTCCCGGGTTCAAACATTTCATGGCCTGCCATCTGTCACTGTAACTTCGGCGTGGAATGGCGAATTCAGAATCAAAACGATCAAAAGTTAATATGTTTTTATGAACTCTGCATTTCCAAACTTAGAGGGGGCACGGGTGGCCCAATCGTCTAAGGCGCCGCGATTCGCTGTGCAGAGTTGCGTCCCTTGGGCACGCCACAAACCTATGATTGTGGGTTCGAATCCCGGTTCGCCCCGATTATGTTTCTAGGTTTGTCAGCACCATACCCGTGCTCGTGGGTTTCACTGAAGTGCAACCCACTGCATCACTTCGGGCTTTCCTCCAACATTAAGCTGACACGCCGTGATATAACTGGACTACTCTTAAAAACGGCGTTACACCCAACTCACTCTCACTCCAAACTTAGAGTGCCAATGATACAAGATTAGATATCTGTCCTTTTATAGAGAACACTTGGAACAATCTCACCCGAATATTCGTTATTTCTTACAAAAAAACATTCAATACCAGCGACATTTGTTTGGTTGCGTTTCTGCAAGTCTTTTTCAAAACATTTTCAGGGGGCCGCGAACCTGTTTTCCAAAACCCAAGTTGGGTAATCTCGTCCGTGTTATGTCGACATATTGATAACGTGACCACTGTCTTGGTCGCAATACAGTCAGTGTGTAAGTGATGTTACTTCCCATCAGACCCGTGAAGAATCCGGGGTAGAATATGTCTTCAGTAACCCATGCTTGCCGTAAAAGGTGACTATACTTGTCGTAAAAGGCGACTAACGGGATCGGGTGGCCAGGCTTGCTGACTTGGTTGATGCATGTCATCGATCCCAATTGCGTGGATCGATGTTCATGATGTAAATCACTGGATTGTCTGGTCCAGACTCGATTATTTACAGACCGCCGTCATATAGCTGGAATATTGCTGAGTGCAGCGTAAAACAACAAACCAAACCAAAACTTCCCATCACAATAACATGTTTTCTTTTGGGTTTTTTAGGAGTAAATGTGTCTGTCGTGTCTACTATGATTTTCCAGAACAAGCCGACTACGCCAGTGACATGTTTTTGATACAGTAACTTTAACGCAAATTCACATATATAGATTGTAGATAAACATTGTTTACCAAAGCGAAACCAATGGGGAATAGAGGTCCTCTGTTTGAAAGAGGCGACTAAACAGATGAGGTGGTCAGGCTGTCTGACTTTGTTGATGTCATCGTATACCATTCCTCGGGTCGATACTCATGATATTAATCATCGGATTGACTGGTCCAGACTCGATTATTTACAGACCGTCATATAGCTGAAATACTGCTGAGTGTGGGGTTAAACAAACTATTTAATCCCAGGCAGGTCTACCAGTGGTAACAATATGATATTTTACGACTGCTTCAAGCAATACTGGAAGCTCTGGTCCGAACTGGCCCAAGCCAAATACAATCTCATTGAAATCAGATCTCAGGTCTCGCTGCCGCTAAAAAAGCTTTGTTTAACGGAAGCGAGAACTAAGATCTGATTTTAATGAGATTGAAGCTAAATATGGCGGGCAATCAAACGTTAACATGCCGAGCCATTGATATGGCTTGCGAAGGAGCAAGGGCAGATCCAGCTTTTTCAAAAGGGACGGGTCCAAAAATATCAAAATCCTCTCTCAGATAATTTTACTGCCCCTACAACATACTACATTTGGCATTGACACCCCCCCCCCCCCCCCCCCTTCAAATTTTGTGAAAAAAAGAATGTAGAATGTTGTAGGCAGCCAAATTATCGAGATAGATGATTTTGATATTATGGTACATCATATGTACTTTTTAAGCTCGTCTCCGTGAGTGAATTGTGTTTTACAGCACAGTCAGCAATATTCCACAATATCGCTATCTCACCAAGGCAAATGACTATAAAAGTCCTGTTTCCACCCTTGCCGAGCTTGGTTGAAATTTCGCAACTCGATCGTAGCGCCACCAGTGT